TTGCAGAGTTTCCTTTCGCATCAGATAAACTCGCTTGTGTAGATGTATAATTTGCATTATTAATCACATTGCCTGAGCTATCTTTTGTTGCAACGTTTGTTCCTGATGCCGTTGTTGTAGAACTAACCGCATTGCCGGACGCATCTTTACCACTAAGCGTATTCGATGTTGCCGTTGTCTGATTCGTATTGCCAGAAGCATCCTTAACTGTATTACCTGTAGCCGTAGATTGGTTCGTATTACCTGTACTGTCTGTCACAGTATTTCCAGATGTTTTTAGAGAATCTAACTGGCTTTGTATTGCTTGTTGCTGTTGACGTATTACTATTGCCGTCTTTGTCTTTAGTCGTCGTACCATCAGCCGTAGTCGTCGTACTGTTGCCATCTTTACCAGCAAGTGTATTGCTTGTTGCTGTTGACGTGTTGCTATTACCATCTTTGTCTTTGGTTGTCGTACCATCAGCTGTAGTGGTTGTACTGTTACCATCTTTGTCAGCAAGTGTATTGCTTGTTGCTGTTGACGTATTACTATTGCCGTCTTTGTCTTTAGTCGTCGTACCATCAGCCGTAGTCGTCGTACTGTTGCCATCTTTACCAGCAAGTGTATTGCTTGTTGCTGTTGACGTGTTGCTATTACCATCTTTGTCTTTGGTTGTCGTACCATCAGCTGTAGTGGTTGTACTGTTACCATCTTTGTCAGCAAGTGTATTGCTTGTTGCTGTTGACGTATTACTATTGCCGTCTTTGTCTTTAGTCGTCGTACCATCAGCCGTAGTCGTCGTACTGTTGCCATCTTTACCAGCAAGTGTATTGCTTGTTGCTGTTGACGTGTTGCTATTACCATCTTTGTCTTTGGTTGTCGTACCATCAGCTGTAGTGGTTGTACTGTTACCATCTTTGTCAGCAAGTGTATTGCTTGTTGCTGTTGACGTATTACTATTGCCGTCTTTGTCTTTAGTCGTCGTACCATCAGCCGTAGTCGTCGTACTGTTGCCATCTTTACCAGCAAGTGTATTGCTTGTTGCTGTTGACGTGTTGCTATTACCATCTTTGTCTTTGGTTGTCGTACCATCAGCTGTAGTGGTTGTACTGTTACCATCTTTGTCAGCAAGTGTATTGCTTGTTGCTGTTGACGTATTACTATTGCCGTCTTTGTCTTTAGTCGTCGTACCATCAGCCGTAGTCGTCGTACTGTTGCCATCTTTACCAGCAAGTGTATTGCTTGTTGCTGTTGACGTGTTGCTATTACCATCTTTGTCTTTGGTTGTCGTACCATCAGCTGTAGTGGTTGTACTGTTACCATCTTTGTCAGCAAGTGTATTGCTTGTTGCTGTTGACGTATTACTATTGCCGTCTTTGTCTTTAGTCGTCGTACCATCAGCCGTAGTCGTCGTACTGTTACCATCTTTACCTGAAACAGTATTCCCAGTAGATGTAGATGAATTTGTATTACCATCTTTATCTGTAACGGTCGTTCCAGATGCTGTTGTGCTCGAACTATTTCCAGAACTGTCCTGTGTTGAACTACCTTTAGTTGAAAGATCGTCAAACTTACTGTTCATTTCTGATTGTAAGGTATTAAGCTGACCTTTATTTACAGCATCAGATGTATCTGTACCATCTGCAACATTGGTCACTTTGGTACCTGCGGCATTAATACCAGATGTCGTAATGCTTGGACCATTGTTTATAGTTAAGCCAGTTGAGTTAACTGTGGTTCCACCAGCATTTAAACTATCAAAAGTTGCATTTTTATCCAATCCAACCACAATATTGCCATTACTATCTGTGGTTGTTTTTAGATTATCGGTATTGTACTGATCATCAGCTTTTGTACCTGTACCTTTAATCGTTAACGTTTCACCTAAGTTTTTATGCGTAACTGTGCCATTCGTATCAGCAAAATTTAAACCTTTATTCGTTAAATCTGTGGTTGCTGTATAAAGTTGGCTACCGTTCACTGCATCTTTAGATGTCGGGCTCACTGTACCATCTGCAACATTGGTAATTTTTTCATTACCTGCATCAATACCTGATGCTGTCACACTTGGCCCTGTCTTATTACCAGACGCATCTGTAAAGCTTAGGCCATTTTGACCAATATTCGTGCTTGTTTTATCAGATGGGTCTGCACTGCCATAGGTTGTACCAGATGCTGTTGTGGTGGTCGTATTCTTACCATCTGTGATCGTATTACTGGTAGACGTCGATGTATTGCTATTGCCATCTTTGTCTTTAATTGTCGTACCATCAGCCGTAGTCGTCGTACTGTTGCCATCTTTACCAGCAAGTGTATTGCTTGTTGCTGTTGACGTGTTGCTATTACCATCTTTGTCTTTGGTTGTCGTACCATCAGCTGTAGTGGTTGTACTGTTACCATCTTTGTCAGCAAGTGTATTGCTTGTTGCTGTTGACGTATTACTATTGCCGTCTTTGTCTTTAGTCGTCGTACCATCAGCCGTAGTCGTCGTACTGTTACCATCTTTACCTGAAACAGTATTCCCAGTAGATGTAGATGAATTTGTATTACCATCTTT